ACAAAACATATATTTGAAAAGTATCACTTATAAGGTCCTTATAAACTTAGTCGAACATGGCAATGGGATCTCTTAGAGAGCGTTTGATTTACTATATTCAAGTTGTTTTCAGTTTTGCAAAACACTTAAAACATGTATGGTCTGTTATTTCTGAAAAACATTTTTTTTTTAAATAATGATAAATTTATAATGTAAAATTCAAAACTCATTTTTGACGTTTTGAATGTTTTCAGTGAAAATTTTGTAAAGACTCAGAACATGGAAAACAAGCGTTCAAATAAACTTTTACTTCAATAAAATTTTTAAAACTAAAAATTTTAAAAATAAAAATATAAAATTCTAACAAATAAAAGTTTAAAAATTATAAAAAGTTCAAAAAAAAGTAAATTCAAACAATAAAATTGATAAATTCTAAAAATAAAAATTTGAAAAAATAAAATCTGCAATTCTAAAAATATAAAATTCTAAAACATGAAAATTAAAATTCTGAAAAAATAAAGATTACAAAAGAAATTAGAAAAATAAAAATAGTTCTATCTCTTAATGATTATTTACATAAAAAAATTTAAATGAACACAAACAACAATATTTTAAGTCCACGTATTTGTTTTTATTTTTATTTTCTATATTTTCAAATTAATTCATTATTTTAAATTTGTAGTTAAAAAAATATTATAAGATTCACCAACTTTAAGGTGTCTATAATACTTGATAATATATTAACGTAAAATTATTCTTTTTTACTGAATAATCAAAATTAATGAAATACAATGCAATAAAGCGATTTTTCAAAATTTCAAACCAAACTTGTTTTTTAGTTTTCTGATTTAAGAAATAATTTTTCAAAATGACAAATCAAACACGTTTTTAGAAATTTTAAAACGGACTTTCAAAACAGAAAATAGAAAATAAATTCAAAACTCAAAATTGAAATACAAACAAAATGAGCCCTTAATAATCACTTATTGCTACACCAAAAGGCACCAACTCACTTCAAGAGAACATTGGAGGAAGGCATGCTTAAAAAGCTAGAGTTCGAGCCAAGGCAATGTAATTAAGGACACGTGAAGCTAAAATGTGAAGCTCGGCGTACGTTAAGTCCATGTTTCACAACTATTTTTTCTCATACTTATTTTTAACTACACATTCTCACAATAAAATATTCTTCTCGTAAATCCAAATTTTTTTCATACTCCTTAATCACACGTTCTCCAAAAATTTACTATTTAAAAACTCATTCTACACCAAAAATGACTGTCAAACATGGGCTAAATATAAACGCATAACTTAAGTGTGACTCATAGTCTTTAGTGAAGTATGGCTCGCTTTGAATTCCAATATGATTAAAGTGTACTTAATATGTTAAATAGAATATTGTTCATTGTAAATTTTAACAGCTACGATAATTCATCTCACCGAATTAGATTCAAAAAAATACTTCGTTAAGGCCACATGAAACCAAAATGCGAAGCTCGAAGTACATTGAATATAAAACATAACTTAAAGTGTGACTCGTAGTCCAGTGAAATATGGTTCGCTTTGAATTGCAACAAGATGATTAAAATGTACTTAATATGTCACATAGAATATTGTTCATCGCTAGATAATTCTTCTCACCGAATTAGGTTCAGTGAAATACTCCTTTGAGGCCACATGAAATCAAAATGCAAAGCTTGACGTACATTTAATATAAAACAGAGTATGAATCATAGTCTGGTGAAGCATTATTCGCTTTTAATTCCAACAAGATGATTAAAATGTACCTAATATGTCATATAGAATTGTGTTCGTCGCGAATTTTAACAGCTACGACAATTCATCTCACCGGATTAGGTTTAGTAAAATACTCCATTAACACCACATGAAACCAAAATGTGAAGCTTGGTGTACATTGAATATAAACATAACCTAAAGTATGACTTATAGTCTAGTGAAGCAAGGTTCGTTTTGAATTCCAGCAAGATGAATAAAATATACTGAAAATGTCATATAGAATATTGTTCATCGCGAATTTTAAAAACTACGATAATTCGTCTCATCGAATTAGGTTTACCGAAATACTCCTTTAAGGTCACATGAAACCAAAATGCGAAGCTCAACGTACATTTAATATAAAACATAACTTAAAGGTTGAATTTATAGTCTAGTAAAACATGGTTCACTTTGAATTCCAACAATAGGGTTAAATTCATTGGTGGCCATCCAATTTTATACTTGGTGTCACCATGACCACCTAATTTGATTTTATTTCACCATGACCACTCAACTTTATACTTAATGTCATCGTGGCCACCCAATTTGATTTTATTTTATCAAGGTCATCCAATTTCATATAATATTTCACTATAGCCACTAAATTTTATAAAACATTTCACCATAACCACTCAATTTCTTTTTATCATTTCCATTAATTTCAAAAGGAGTAAACGGTAACTTTGCATTATATATATATTAGTCGTTGACACATGCGTTGCACGAATTTTGTATTTTTTGTGTTTTTATTAATGTATAAATTGTAGATACAAAAAAAAAGTAGTTTAAAATTTATTGGATTATTCAAGAGTGTTGGGAACATATTATTGCTTCGCTATTGCTCAATCTAGTAAGGTGATTATTTCAAAAACTGATATTATTGCACAGAGAAACTCACAAAAAATAAATTGAAAACATTACGTGTAGGGATGGCAACGGGGCGGGGTGGACCCCGCCCCGCCCCGCTCCGCTCCGCTAAGAAATTCCCCTCCCCGTCTCCGCCCCGTTACCCGTTTAAGGCAAGGCAAGGCGAAGCGGGACAGGGGTAAGTCCTTTCCCCTTTTTTTTTATTTATTATTTTTGATAATTTATTTTTATTGCTCATATTCATTAGATTTAGACAAATAATTTTAGTTGCTATTTTCTATTAGAACTAATGAAAATTTTCATTTAAAGTATTGAATTCTAATTTTTTTTTTAAAGGGGCGAAGCGGGGTGGGGACCCCGTTACCCATGAAAATTTTCATTTAAAATATTGATTTCTAAATTTTTTTTTTTTTTTAAACTAGGCGGGGAGGGCCGGGGACTCCATTACCCGTCCCCGCCCCACCCCGTTACCCGTTTAAGCGGGTTTTCTCCGCTCCGTTTGGAGCGGGTCCCGCGGGTATCGGATTTGTCGAATTTTTTTGCCATCCCTAATTACGTGTATGTAGATGATAATAGAAACGTTTGACATACATAAAGATTGCATGTTTACACAAGTAAGAAATATTTGATTAAATCTACTATAAATATTAAACAATATTGAAAGAAAAGAGAAACAGTGATCTCAATAAAATCCAATTCCTCAACATGAGTACATGAAAAAATGAATAAAAAAGGACTGAAGATAAAAAATTACACAGTTAAATATTAGAAAATGAAGTAAAGAAGAACACACAATATGGAATGAACCAAAACAATTTATGAGAAATAAGTTTTAGCGCATTGGTCGCCACAATAGTCAACTCTCTAAGCATCTTATCAAATAAATTTTCAACCTATATAAGTTAACCATATTAGAAACTATACACATTATTAAAATAAAAAGGAAAACCTTAGAAAAAGTACATTTTTAGCAAATTCATCGAATATTTCAAACTATGTTCCACATTTTTGGTATCTGCAAAATCAGTCTTCTTGCGCTGAAACATTAATTCAGCAGATTAAGCAGTAGTTTTAGCCTCTAACCGAAAACCACACCTTTTCTAAAATGAGAAGGCTCATGTTATTGATGGTCATATGGCTACAAAGTAGAATATCAACTGATAATTAAATTAGAATTTAAGCAACAAACATGTAAAACATAAATAACATGAACAGCTTTGGAAGCTATCGTTAATAAAAAGTTGTTAACAACTTCTTTTACTAAGCTTAGCTATAAGTAAATTATCAACTTTTTGAACGATTTACTAGAAAAAAATAGCATATCTAATCTTATTTAGTACAAAAAAACTTTTTAAACCTTAGCTAAACATGCTTTCAATAAAGTGATGAAGTCATTAAAGACTCGCCATAGTTATCACGTGAATAAATACTTTGAGACTTTAAGCGAGATGTTAAGACTTCCACCCCATAAAGTAAAGAGCGAATGAAACACCAAAAATATACACATTAAAAAAGTGAATTACAGGTGTTGCAAGAAATAGGAAATATTTTACAAACTCTAATAGTCTTAATTATATTTATGCTCACGAGGCTATTCCAAAGGTAGACATTTGATAGGTGAGCATGAAGGATAACTGATTTCATATGTTACATTTCTATTTGTACTTCCTTCTTTTATACTTTTTTGCAACATCATCTGAAAATTACACTCGTTTTCAAAGCCGAAAATTAGAATTGCATATTCCTTTGAAACAAGGTAGCAGCCGTCCTTGATAAGCTGTCTCAACAACTTTAATTGCAGGTCAAGATTCTAATAGAATAAATAAATGTAAATTAATTATATTAAGTATGTAAAGAAATTTATTACGATGAATAAACTTTACTAACCGCAATATTCATATCTTGATGAAATTTTGTATTATAAAATGTTAATGACTTAATGTCAGGAAGATCATTGACAAAGTGTAACATTAAGGAATATGAAAGTAAGTTATATTAGAGTTTTTCAAAACAATAACAATACAAATAACATTTTTTTTAATTGTTAAATATACATGTCTGAAAAATAAATCCATGGAATACAAATTTTAGAAGCAAACCTCAATATTCCAATGGTTATGCAAAAGTCTTTTCATCATACTGATATGTATATGTTGACACAATCGTAAAGCTAAAAAAAATTGAAGTGCCTACAAAATCACGAACTCTGAAATAAAACTTCGTCAAGTTTTATTGTTAAAGTTTTACGAGGACCATCGGAATACCACATTTTTTAGCAAACTTCAAATTTAACAATAAACAATTAGTTTTGATATAATATATTTTTTTATAATTTTTTTTATTTGTCTATCGTTGTTATGCAAATGAAACATCGCTTCTAAATGGGGATCAACCTACGAGGTCAGTCGCAGAACCTCGAGGCCCGGCCCGATCAGCCCGAATTCAAGCACGAGCACCAAGACAAAGGTCTGGCTCTTCTCTCTTCTCTCTTCTCTTTATTACTCACTATTCAGTATGGAGCTCAACCTCTCATCTCCAAACGCTTCACCAGGTTATAATTTTTTGCTCTATTACTTCTGTGTATCTGATAATTATTGTTATGTTATTGTAAAACCATGATCAACAAAATTTATTGTGCTCGTCTCATGAATGAATACATATTTGTACTAGTATGTAATTTGTTCTCCATGCTTGCAAACGGAATGCCTTGATTTGAATCACCATCATCTTCAGGACCGCGATTTCATGTTAATTTAATTAGTATTTACACGCTTATCAAATTCAGAGATATTAGCAATATTAAGAAAATCTTTTGAATTGGAAAAGTTGATTACATCGTAATGAAATAAGTACCAGTGATAATTGAAGAAACGGGAATTCTTTTGGTTTTTCTTTCTTTTAGTTCCTTCGTAGTACAGTAATGCCACACCATTTTGCTGGCATTGAAATGGGGGCCTGAAAGTTGGATATAAAATTTTGTATCTGAAAATAAAAGTTTCCAGAATCGACTTGCGAAGACAGAATGTAGGAATTTAAAATATTACAAACAGTAACATGAAACTAGAAAAATTTGTATCTGAAAATAAAAGTTTCCAGAATCGACTTGCGAAGACAGAATGTAGGAATTTAAAATATTACAAACAGTAACATGAAACTAGTAAAATAGAAAGCTGTAAACAATTGCTGAAGTCGGAATAAGGATGATCGAGGCGAGAACTATGCTCTCTGTCCTTAAGACGTTTTTACCCCGTCACACGGTGCTTACGGTATATGGTAAATCGTCTCCCAAGATACAACGATCACACTTGCAGAAGTAGCACGTCGACTGCAAGACAGCGAACCAGAACGGAAGTAACTCTCTGTAGACTAATGCAGAAACGGAAAAGACAAGAAGACAATGTATGCAGTGCAGTATGAATTCGTGTGTTTTTGTTGTGTGTTCAAATGAAAGCTCGAAGACCCTTTAAATAGAGGAGGGAGTTGCCGGTTCAGCCTTCGTTCAACTCCCCACTTGCAGCAGTTTT